ATTGTTAGATAGCACGGACAACTAAAATACACAAAAGAAAGAAAGAAAGAAAAGAAAGAAAAAAGAAAGAAAGAAAAGAAAAAGAAAAAAAAAAAACAAAAAAAAAACAAACAAAAATGTCGAAAAATAAATTCAAACTGACTAAAAAAAGAAAGAAAGAAAAGAAAAGAAAGAAAGAAAGAAAGAAAAGAAAAGAAAAAGAAAGAAAAGAAAAAAGAAAGAATTGAAAACCAAATAAGAAAAATGAAGAATGAAAAATACATGAATAAATAAAAAAGAAAGAATGAGGAAACAATAAAGAAAAGAAAGAAAGAAAGAAAGAAAAAAGAAAGAAAGAAAAAAAGAAAAATGAAGAATGATAAATACATGACTAAAATAAAAAGAAAGAAAGAAAGAAAGAAAGAAAGAAAGAAAAGAAGAAAGAAAGAAAGAAAAGAAAATGAAAGAAAGTTACACAAACAAAACAAACAAAACGGTCAAAAAAAAAGAAACTAAAAAAGAAAGAAAGAAAGAAAGAAAAGAAAGAAAGAAAAAAAAAGAAAGAATTGAAAACCAAAGAAAAAATGAAAGAATGATAAATACATGAATAAATAAAGAGCGGTAAATGATGATAAGAAACAAAGAAAGAAAGAAAGAAAGAAAAAGAAAAGAAAGAAAGAAAGAAACGATTGTTAGATAGCACGGACAACTAAAATACACAAAGAAAGAAAGAAAGAAAGAAAAGAAAAAAGAAAGAAAGAAAAAGAAAAAAAAAAGAATTGAAAACCAAAGAAAAATGAAGAATGATAAATACATGGAGAAAAAAGAGCGGTAAATGAAACAAAAAACGAAAAGAAAAAGAAAGTTCAAAGAAACTAAAAAAAAAAAAAACGAAAGAAAGATAGAAAAAAACTAAAATAACAAGAAAGAAAAGAAAGAAAGAAAAGAAAAGAAAGAAAGAAAAGAAAGAAAGAAAAAAAAGAATTGAAAACCAAAGAAAATAAAGAAAGAAAATAAATGGAGAAATAAAGAAAGGTAAATGAAAACAAAAGAAAGAAAAAAAAAGAAAAAAAAAAAAGAAACGATTGTTAGATAGTTCAATACTAAAATACACAAAGAAAGAAAGAAAGAAAAAAAGAAAGAAAGAAAAGAAAGAAAGAAAGAAAGAAAAAAAAAGAAGAATTGAAAACCAAAGAAAAAAAATGAAGAATGATAAATACATGGAGAAATAAAGAGCGGTGAATGAGGAAACAATGAGAAAAAAGAAAGAAAGAAAGAAAGAAAAGAAAAAGAAAGAAAAGAAAGAAAAGAAAGAAAAAAACGAATTTAGATAATTCATAACGACTAAAATAAACAAAAAAAAGAAAAAGAAAGAAAGAAAAAAGAAAGAAAGAACTAATTGGATAGCTTGAGTGACTAAAATACAAAAGAAAAGAAAAGAAAAGAAAAGAAAAGAAAAGAAAAGAAAAGAAAAGAAAAGAAAAGAAAAGAAAAAAAAGAAAGAAAGAAAATGAAATCTATCAATCCTGATTCGAAATGTACACAGTAGTCTTTGATCAATGACATAATTTCACAGTGGCCAATATGTGAATCGTTGACTGCCAACACTGCTTCTCTAACATCCACTTCAGACTTGGACGAATTATTGTGTCCCTGAACCAAATAAATACCCGATCTTTTTTTTTTTTATGAGAGAAACATTCGGCAAACAAGCCACCATAAACATTGTATCGGTTAACAGCGATTCCATCTGTTGCTGCGTACACCAAAGCTGAAGTTACCACTACTGCCAGTTTTATCATTATGAAAGCAACCCACTATCTTCTCTCCTTACCGTCTGCTTGTTGGTCCAGCAAACGACCTGTAAACCTGTATATCTACCAATCAAGCCTTCTCACGACAAGTGGTTACACAAAGAGCCAATCGATTTGTCAACAAACAACCTACCTCGACCTGACACCACTCAGCGGCCATTATTTAGAAGCTTATGTAATAATCTTGTAAAGAAAATGTATGCTGATAGAAAGTGTCCAATGTTAAAGAAAACTGATGAGAAAACGGGCTGTCCTGTATGAAACAAGACAAAATATTTTACAAAAGGGTAAAAAGATATGGGCAACGTTGGGTAGGACTATGATATAAAACTTCAAATTTCAATGTCGTAGAAAGAAAGAAAGAAAGAAAGAAAGAAAGAAAGAAAGAAAGAAAGAAAGAAAATGAACGGAATCCTATAGATAGATGTTACCACAATGTACTGAGACAAACAGATAGATAGATAGATAGATAGATAGATAGATAGATAGATAGATAGATAGATAGATAGATATGAATCGACGGAAATAGACTGATAGATAGATATTACTCAATTGCGAATGGTAGATAGATAGATAGATAGATAGATAGATAGATAGATAGATAGATAGAAAATGAACGGAATCATATCGATAGGTATTTACATAATGTACTGAGATAGATAGATAGATAGATAGATAGATAGATAGATGTATTAACAAAACGCACTCTGATAGATGGATAGATACGTATTGTTTATTGGAATGGTTGGCAAAATCCTGGCTTATTGCTAATTGATTCAAGCTTTATAAAATGAATTCCTCATCGATGGTTCACACAATTTAATAATTTTTTTATAAATTTATGGATAAAAAATTGTTTTCATATTTATTTCTTTATAAATCGGCAAATAATAGAAATTAAATTGTACTAGGTTTTAGAAAGTTTTAAAAATAAATTTATTCTTGTAAATAAACAAACAATACCTCTGTTTCATAGACTACGCAAAGGCTTTCGACAAAATATGCCACAATGATCTGATGGAACTGCTCAACAACCTTGATATATTCAGGAAAGATATCAGAATAATCAAGAACCTATACTGGCAGCAAACAGCGTGCATGCGAATAGGGAACGAGTTCTGTGAATATACAAAAATAGAAAAGGACGTAAGGCAAGGATGTGTCTTCTCACCGGACCTGATCAACCTGTAGAGCGAGGCAATTCTACCGGGATTTAGCGTCGGCGACCACAATCACAACAATATAAGATATGCAGATGACAGAGTACTGATAGCAGACACGGAAAAGAAACTACAATATCTCCTACAGAAGGTAGCAAAGGAGAGCAAGAAGAAGGGACTAAGCATAAACTACAAGAAGACAGAATGCATGGTCACCAGTAAGAGAAAGAGCCCCGAAATGCGATTTGTAGGTTGAGAAAACTAGAATCAAGCAGAAGCGGAACTTTAAATATCTGGGAAACGTTTTGACAGGGGACGGTAAGTGCGGCACTGAGATCCGTGGACGTACTGGGAATGCTAAAGAGACATTCCAAAACCTGGGCAGAGTATTCCGAGACAGGAGGATTTCTTTGATAACAAAGAAATGAATACTGAACTGTAACGCGACATCTGTCCTTCTTTACGGCAGCGAATGTTGGACGATTTCCTCAAAGATGAAGAAGAGATTCGAGGCGATGGAGATGTGGTTCTACAGAAGGATACTGGGGATTTCGTGGATCGAGCGTGTGAGCAACGATGAGGTCTTGGAGAGGATGAAGACGAAGAGGAGGCTTCTACTTAATATCAGGAAGAGGCAGCTGAAGTTTCTGGGACACATAATGAGGTAGGAGGGCTTAGAGAATCTGATACTCACGGGTCGAACAGAGGGCAAGAGAGACAAGGGAAATCAGCACGTGACATTCCTGGCAGGCTTGAGCAGGTGGATGTTAAAACGTGGTCTAGGGGAGGAAGCATATCGAAGAAATTTGTTGAGAGCTGCAAGGGATAGAAGGAGGGGGAGAGCAATGACCGCCTACGTCCTGAAAGGACACCTCACATAAAAAGAAAGACACAGTAAACATCCCTGTAAAAAAAAATAAATTCCTGTTTTTTTTTTATTGTTCTCTTAATAATGTTTTTTTTTATCCTCAGCTCCACTTGTGGGCCAAACGGACCACGTTGAGAATCATTGGTTTAAATCACAAAGTATAGACAAAATGAGACACTGAATTGGAAAATAAGACCACTGAATGAAGGAACGGTCTCTTCATTTAGAAAATGTTACTATCAATATTTGTTTCACGTCCAGATAATCGAACTTCGATTAATCGAAGTTCGGATAATCGGAGGTCGGATAATAAAAGTCCGGATAATCGGATGTATGATAATTGAAGTCCGGATAATCGGAGATATGATAATCGGAGCCCGCATTATCAGAGGTCGGATAATCGAATTCCGGATAATCGGAGGTCGGATAATCGAATATTTGACGTAAATAAAATATGTTCCTCTTCAGTTATTTGATTCAATATCAGGTCATCCCATAAGTTCTGTCCGAATATTAACTTTTTGTTAAAATGAACGAAATTTAAAGAGTATTTATCTAATGGAGCTGAACATTATTTTTATGTTTAGATGCATTTAAACTGATCAAATTTTATTTCAGAGAACAATAAAATTAAATTTTGTTTCATTAAAACCCTGCTAACATGTAATTACCCAAGAATCATTTGAGGCACATAATGCTTTATGAGTTCAAGAAAGGAAACTCAGCAGCCGAAGCTGCTAGAAACATTCACTCAGTTTATGGAGAGGAATGTGTGAATGAAAGAACTTGCAGAAGATGGTTTGCAAAATTCAGAGGTGGAGATTTCACTCTTGAAGTTGAAGATCGAACCGAACGTCCAGTTGAGTTTGATGAAAAGCTTCTTGAAGCAGCCCTTGAAGAAAATCCTGCTTTATCAGTTGAGGAATTGGCAGTGGTTCTCAGTTCAAACTATACAACTGTTCATCGTCATCTTCAACAACTTGGAAAAGTTCCTAAACTTGGAAAATGGGTGCCTCATGAATTGTCTGAAAACAACCTCAAATCCCGAGTTGATATCTGCTCTTCTCTCCATTCTCGTCAAATTGTTTCACCTTTTTTGGATGGACTTGTGACTGGCGATGAAAAATGGATCTTTTATCGAAATGTTAAGCGTCGTAGACAGTGGCTTGGTAAAGGGTAAGGACCCCAGCCACTGCCGAGAAAGGAACTTCATGAGCAAAAGGTTCTTCTTTCAATCTGGTGGGATCGCCAAGGAATAATCCACTTTGAATTCTTACCACCTAATGCAACAATTAATGCTCAAATATACTGTCAGCAATTAGAGCATTTGAACCAAGCTTTGAGGAAAAATAGACCTGCTCAAGTGAATCGAAAAGAGGTGATGTTTCATCAGGACAATGCGCGACCCCACACAGCAAGAATCACGTCACAAAAGATCGAAGAACTTGGTTGGTAGAAAATTCCTCATCCACCTTAATCTCCCGATCTTGCTCCTTCAGACTATCATTTGTTTCGTAGCTTACAGAATCATTTGGAAGAAACGGCTTTTGTAACACAGGAAGAGGTTAAAACTGACATTTGTGAGTTCTTCGAATCTAAGTCAAAAGAATTTTACAGTAATGGAATTAGTAAGCGTGCTAATAGATGGAAGGAAGTCATAGATAATCAGGGAAAATACATTGTTGATTGAATCTGTAATTAAATGTAACATTTGGCAACTTGTTTTCTTTATTCAAAATTCCGACAGAACTTATGGGATGACCTGATATATATATATATATATATATATATATATATATATATATATATATATATATATATATATATATATATATATATATATATATATATCTAGGAGGCACGGTGAAGTAATGGATAGCGGCTCGGATTGAGGAATCGGAGAGCCGAGTTCGAATTCAGTCGGATCCATTACATTCAATTACCTGCTAATTCTCTTGTGAAAGATACGAAGCCTCTTCTTCTATCCCCGGCTATGGGTAAATAGCAGGACAAATTGGGTTCTATAGCCTTGAATGGCAACTGGTCTACCGCAGGATGAATTGGCAACCTACTGCGGGAAAAAATCTGCCTCGTCAGTCATATATCGAAAGACACATGATCACTTAAGCGTGTATTACGCATGGCACATAACTGACTGATGGATTTCAGTGGCAATTTCGCAATAGATACGGAATAGTGTGGCAATTTGCGGTGAAAGATTGAATGCGGGCCTTTATTCGATAGAGGCATTCATTGTGAGTTTCTACAATTAAGCCATTGAACTATGACTGAGAAGGAAAAGGAGTATTTTCGGGACTAGATTTGATATCCTGATATTTTGGTATTCATTTGAGTATGTCTGTCTACATTTCTGAGATGAGGTATTATGTACACTATTTACATTATTCGGACTATTGTCTTCATCTTTGTCACCATATTTATTACAACGTTTCTGCCCTTCAGTATCTGTTTATATTTCTTAGATGAGGTATTATGTACATTATTTACATTATTCGGACTGTTTATATTTCTTAGATGAGGTATTATGTACATTATTAACATTATTCGGACTATTGTCCCCGTCTTTGTCGCCATATTTATTACAACGTTTCGGCATTTCAGTATCTGTCTATATTTCTGAGATGAGGTATTATGTACATTATTTACATTATTCGGACTATTGTCCTCATCTTTGTCGCCATATTTAATACAACGTTTCGGCCTTTTAGTATCTTTCTATATTTCTGAGATGAGGTATTATGTACACTATTTACATTATTCGGACTATTGTCCTCATCTTTGTCGCCATATTTATTACAACGTTTCGGCCTTTCAGTATCTGTCTATATTTCTGAGATGAGGTACACTATTTACATTATTCGGACTATTGTCCTCATCTTTGTCACCATATTTATTACAACGTTTCGGCCTTTCAGTATCTGTCTATATTTCTGAGATGAGGTATTATGGGTTTTCTCTCGGGCCGCTGGTCTTAGCTGGTCATAGCTTGTCCAAGCTGGTCAGAGCTGGTCTAAGCTAGTCATAGCTGGTTTTGGCTTGTCATATCTGGTCCAAGCCGGTCCAAGCTAGTCGTAGCAGTGATACCACCAGCCCAGCGACGAGGTAAGTATATGTTTGCTATTTGTTCTGTTATTGTGGTTGAGAAATTGTTGACGTCTTTATCAACTTCTTATTGAAGTAAACAGTCATTTTGTGTATTTGCATAATAATTTCTAATTTTTGAAACTACCTTAACCTTTAACTGAAGTAAATTCGATTTATTGAGGTTTATGTGATTCGTGCAATAACTTTAGCCGGACTGTAAAATACATCTATATCATATAAAAACAATAACAAGCAAAAACTAAATAAATACAAAAGGAAAACTTACATTAGGCGATGCGTTACGTCCTCTCACGGACTTTATAAAGGCAATTGAATATTTACCCTGACTCCCCACTCAGACGGGATGTGATACAGAGACGGGTTTTATGTGGGGATCCCGAGCGCGTACACCCGGGCTAAGAACAAAAATTCCCCGAGGCTTTGCAACCGTCGGTTGCGCTGGCCTCGGTGCGAGCCCCGATCCCTCTCTCTAGTGCTATGAGAGGGTGCAGTCTCGGGCATCTATTCCTCAGGGCTGAGCATCTCACAGTGTGATTTTCCTTAGTTGTGCCTC